CAACGCGCTCTCGTGGAGTAATTTTTAAATATATCCTTCGAAAACCGAATCAAACAAGTGTAAAAATTGAATTATTAATTCAAAATATTGTTTCCATCGACCTAATTTGCGTTTTAATAACACTTCCCTGTTGCTCGGTAACTTCAGGAATTGTATATCTAGATGAGATATTCTTCAAATAGTAGTCATCATGTTTCGCGCATGTGGCATTTTGCTGTTCTTGCTTTGTTTTTAGGAAGCGTTAGTTTTCGCCATATTTCGGAGCTCTAGCTGAACAGCCGAGCTAAGTAAAACGCCTTCTGTTGTCTCCTTTTCTAAACAATCAATTATCCGTAAAAGTGACACATTTTTTGGTCAACGGAAGCTCGTTATGAAAGTTACCCGTGATTAAGCCAATCATAAACAGAGAAATACTTTAAACAAAGAATAATCCCTTCGAATCGCATTCGCCTTTATGAAGTGGTTTAATCAGAATGTTATTTCCTTGTGTATCTCTATTTCCCTGCTTTGTGCAATGAGGGGCAAATGCGCAACAGGAAATCTCAGAAACCCCTGGTGGATACAACATTTTAGTCACAATTTTGATGCCCCTATGAAGTCCATCAAAAATTTTCACTTCCCTAAGACAGAGTTTGAAACTGTGTTCTGTCAAATCCTCCACCCACACTGCCATGACGTCTTGAGGTCTCTCAGGAAATTGGTGACTTGGAGTCGCAAGTACGATTGGAGGAGTCAAAAAGCGCTGAATTAAATATAAATATAAAGGAGAAACTTAAATTATTAAATTCCTAAGTAAGTACGTTTCACAATTTCACCTTTTTCTTTATAATTAGGGTATTGTATGATTTTCCTCAAATACCAGTTGAAAGAATTCCATGTAGTTACTTTGTTTTGTTCTGGCTCTTTATTATTACATTTATTAGCAACACGCGTATCGCATAAATTCGCAAAACTCAGAGGAGGCTGCAGTGTCCCGTAAAATGCTAGAGATGAAAGAGATCGAAATTGAGTCTATGATGTAACACTAAGTGGGAAAGCCAGATTGAACAATGGGCATGGAATTGGAAGCTTAGACATACCGAATTACAAATACGCTGTTGGACTGTCGCCAGAGTTTTGAAAATAATGGAATAATGGCCTTGTACTGCTCCGGCATTGGGTCTGAATTCAGAATTTTCCCATTGTACCCAATCGTCTGGATCATTGCAAAATTAAAACTATATCACGGAAATCGGGTTTAGTTGCTCAATGTCCTCAATAGCAATCAAGGATGATTATTGTGTTAAACAAAGGCCTCACCTATAGCTCTCCCTGAATATGTCTTAGCGTACACTCTATGACTGCGCGCGATCAAAAAGCAAAAGCAAAATTCAAACAAAGACAACCAGAGACGCGCAAAAAATTCTCTCGTCTAAAATCATATATACAAACGCTCTTTAACTGAATATAATTCGAAAAACATATGGTGCAAATTTTCAGACTATTTTATCGGTAATTTGCATTTTCCGTTCTTAAAACTTACAATTTCAGTGTTGGAAAAACGCCAAATACTATCAGCACTTCATGAAAGGTGTTGTTTAGAGTATTAATTAACCAAAACATATTTTAAGGTAGGTGTACCTTGACTTCTGTGAGCAAGAAGTATTGCTGCAGCAAAAATTGCGAAGAGGACCGGCGGGACGTGATGCTCTCCCGACATCTTGCTTTAATTAAATCCAATACTTCTTTTCTTGAAAATAATATTCCCATCGTGTTCGCTAAAAGTCATTATTTCTGTTGCGTTGACGGTAAAGGGAGAAGTAAAGCGCTAATTTTCCTAAAATGGATATAACTATTTTTGGACTATTGTTAAGGTCGCAGAAAGCGGGGAAACAGTCTTTGGAGAATTGACATAACTATTCACATTGTAGTGGCATAAAAATGCAACAACCTTAAAAACTAATATGAACACAGCTAGGCTCCCTTTGTTTGGTCCGTTTCTTCCCCCTCACACTTAGGGCTTCACTTGGCAATCATGGCTACATCCCTGTCTCGAAGCAGCGATCTTTTTTCGCTGTTGTTAACAGATGTAGTCATCGGCTTACTCTTGAATGTCACTCATTACATGCCCTTTATTTTACCTTATCTGCCTCATAGAACTGATTATTCCCTGTCCGAGGGCAATAAAAAAAAAATTACACTTTACTATTAAAAATTTATTTCCCAAAATGTTATCAAGAAATCAAGAAATCAATCAACCAATTATTTATGTCAATACGTGGGATGGGGTTGCGGCGATCATCCGAGCCCAAGGCTCATGTATGAAACGTATTAAAAAGTATATAATGGATTTTATTTACCGTTTCCTTTCCTTTAACAAACAACTTTTCCAACCATTAAATTTGTATTGATAGCTTTTATCAAGGGTCTTTTGTTCGCCTTGACGAGTCGACTGCCTTGATTCTTGCGCGTCCCAGAATAAAAGCAAACAATGCATTGAATTCAGCATATGACATCCTGGTCCACTTTGTGGATTTACATTTCAGATTGTCAATGTTGTTGCATTAGAGAATCAGCTCGGCTCTACAACACATTTGATATGACTATGAATTTCCACCCACTGTGAGAGGTATAACATTTTTTATCTGCAAATGTAAGATAATCTGTAAGTGTCTGCCGCGTCTTACTGCAAACCAAATTTACCAAAATCATTTCTCGCAATGCGCAAGAGGAGCAAGACTGTGTTGAATGGTTAAATACTCTGTCTCTGAGAGAAACAGTTCAACATAAGAGTGTTATATACAGTTGAACCTTCTTTACTCATCTTAAGTGAAGATAAGATGGTTATACTCTCGAGTAATCGTGCTCATCTTTAAGATGAAAAAGACAGTAACCCGGGGGAGGGATACTTCCTTATATAAGCTATATATAGGTTTCTTTTACCCCATCGGGTAGGGTTTTTGCGTCGTTTTGGTATGGAAACGGGTATACGCTTTGCCCATTTTGGCCAGGGATCGGGTATGGTTTTCGAGGGAACTACGGAGTGGATTTGAATATATATTTTTTTGTTTCCGCTCTAATCTATGTAATTATAAAATAATTTCTGCCTAAAGGCCAGGTCTGAAAACGGGTATGGAAAATGACATTTTTTGGTCTGAAATAGGGTCAGGATTTGGAGAACCGGGCGGCATACCCTCACCAAGAATTCCCATGAGTACGCACCCCCCCCCCCTTCCTGGGGGGGAACAGTAATCGGATTTGCCAAGAGCCCAAGGCTCGGGCTATGCAAGAGAGTCCAAATCCGGAATCCCTGGAATATTTTTGTTAATGGTAGCTGGAAAACTGGAAATTTTGCTTGTGGAATTCGGGTCCTGGGCTTTGGAATCCGGAATATAGCTCAAGGATATCCGGAATGCCACTAACGATTGGAATCGGGGATCCACGACGTGGAATTCAGAATCCAGGATTGTCTTGGATTCCCTTACATGGGGCGAAAAGGCGTTGCTCTCACCCCAGATATCCGGCGAAACTGGAATTCATTGATGACTTTATTTATTTGGGCAGCGTTATTAGCAATAAATGAAGATGGCTTTGAAATCAAGGAGATCTCAATAAGGTAAGGCTGTGAAAGGCCAGAGGGGTGTTAGTATACCACAGCAAAACGACTAATAAGAGCTGTGTGAACTAGCTCGGTGTTTTTATATGGCAGGAGTATTGGGAAGCATTGGGTAAGAAAGATGTGAGTTAAGATGAAGTTTTCCAAAACGGCTAGCGACGGGGGATCTGTAATGGAGACCCGGAGGAAGCAGGCTTTCATTCTCAGAGGGTCCCCAATAGGGTTTTTCACTCCTGTAATCCCGACCCAAAACTTCATGCAATCCCGTAATCCCGAGGGTTATTTTTGGCATCCCACCTCCCGCGCATACTTTCAATCCCAAATCACGTACCCCAAAAAAACCTATTGAGGACCCTCTTCTTAGCATGACAGTCCCTTAAAAATCTCGCAGGGGTCAAAAACTTTTTCTTTGTTTCCTAATTAATCTCAACTTTCTTTCTACAGTCAATTCGTTGGGTTTCTCACTTTCAGCACGCGCAAGTATACAGTTGACTTTTCGAGTCCTTCGTACGAGTGTGACTTGTACACTTGATTCACACAGTAAAACTCCATCGTCTGGCCTGGATTTAGCTCAGTCGGTAGAGCGCTTCTTTATGTAATCCTTGTAATCCTGAGATTCTGGTCGTGAGTAAAATGACGCCAGCTTGCCAATAGCCTATTGTCATACTAAATGAGAACAAACACATGTGACAGGTATTTCACTAAATTGCACGTTTATTTCTCAAAAAAACTCTAATCCTAATCCAATAATTGCACAGCCTAGTGCAGTCCCCATTGGGACCGCAGGGCTAGTGTCCTTGTTATTAGCAAGCAAGAGTCTGCAGTAGAAAGGGAATTTAGCTGCTGTTCGTACTGCCGATGTGTGTGCAAGACGAGAGTGACTGTATCTATAGTCGCCATGCATTTTGTTTCCGATTTTACAGAGTGCATCCCTATACCCATCAATATTAAAACAAGTACGCAGATTCATATATATCCCGCACTTCCCGGTACATCTTGTCCTAACTAGTAACACATCTATCCATCGCGGTTTATTTAGCAACTACATGGCGTTCTTGGACTCAGTGTATATTTCTGATTACCGTGACAAATGACACAGAAACCTGTATTGCTAATTGAATGTGTTATTTTACCTAGTTTGTCTTCCTGGTAAATTATATTACTATAATTGCATTTCTTACTTGGTCTTCAAAACAACTTAAAACAAAATTTAATGTCCTCTTTTTAAGTTTAAAGAAAACTGTTCTTGCTTGTTAACTGGAGTAGTACGTTGAGCTATATTAAAGTACTATATAGTTTTTTTTTTTCTCCGTTTGCTTAAGTTATAATAGAAATTCAAATATTGAAGTCCTTTTTTTTCTCTTTTTTTGATAGCATTGTGTATTACTTTACTTGCACCTTGTTTTTAGTTAGTGCCACAATAACGGAGACTGCAAGTACTCCCAGGTGTACCATTAAGGTAGTACACATAATATGAACCACAATTTCTCACTTTGATGTTTGTTGACCAGAAACAGCAGTTACCACTCCAGTGAAAACACACCTGCCTGCTGACCTGACCGTCTGCTACTGTGGGGTGTCCACCATTCAACCAGCCGGTTGCAGCAGCGTTACACGTGTAGGTAGGTGGACATGAAGTTGCCATTCTTGTGCCGGCAGATCTATCAAAACGGAACCAGCCAGGTCCGATTCCTCTGTCACAAGAACTGCTACCAGAGTACGTAATCTTTCTGGTATGACTGTTAAGTCTTCCGTAATTCTGACATTCTGATATATAAAAAAAATAATGATTTAAATTTTAAAAAGTTAGAAAATCATTGAATACCTTGATATTTTTTGTAATTTATTGTTTCCAAAAGTTTTATCTAACTGTACATAAACAGGCTCAAAGTGGGTAATTTTCACGTCCTGTAAAATCCCCAACACGTGCCCCACTGTGGCGATAATCGTCTACATACGAGTAATTGAGGATTGATTACTGGCTTTCACACACTGGTAGATATACAGACCGAGGTTAAGCAATAACATGAAAAAGGGAGACAAATATATCTGTAGGCATTCTTTAGCTGCCTCGATCTGCCATTGCAAATGGATGAGTGATCTCTGCTACATACGATGAAGTAGGGAAATAGTAGGTTAATAATAATTCTCGCGGAGCGAGTGTATAATTTTGTCGCGCGCGCAGCGCGCGGATTACGCGAGGGTCGCAAGCGAGCTGCGGTTTCGGTTTGGTCATAAATCTTTCTGTCGGTTTGGTATCCGCAGTTGCCTAGAAAAAAGCCATAAACAAATAATAAAGACGCCAAATGCACGTCATCGTGCATTTTGGGTTTCCAGGCAACACGGCCGGCGACTTTTTCTTTATCCTCTGTTTATTGTACGCTGGCGAATCGCAAAGTATTTCTGAGGCAAATAACAGCGGGCTGCAAACACAACAGTGACCAATTGGACAAGTGGAAGTTCTTGCCGTGGAAGGTTTAACACCGAAAGAAAGGTGACCTGAACTTCAGCGAGAGCAGCGAAGAAAAAGACCACTCCGTTAATCGAGCGGCCAATTTAAAGCCCGAGAGTGAATAAACACGGAAATAATGCAAAATGGTTTTGAAATACTCGTTTGAGCTATTTTTCCTCGAATGTATCTTTGAATTCATGATAAATACAGCTCCATAAGGTTCAAACAGTGTGAATGGCAGAGAAAAATACTTCAACTCTATTAATTTTGATGAGTTACCGGTGCAGTGGTCGCATGGCCCTGTGGTCAGAGGCCGCGCTTTCTCGCTGGAGGAAGTTGGGGTGCAACTGGGTTCCAACCCCGGCGTGTCTACTTCCATTTTTTTTTTCTTTCATCGTTTTTTTACCCTTTGGCTTTTTACTGTTTATTTTCACTGCTGATCCCGTTAGCTTCGCGAGATTTTAGCGAAAACGTATTTCTAGTTTTATGCACTAAAATTGGTTCATTTCATCACATTGACGCTAGTTTCTTTATCGTCTGTCCTCTTATTGATCATAACATAGCATCATGACATTGTCAAAGTGTTGTGGATCCACGAGCACGAGCCCCAGGAGAGTGAATCTACTAGAAAATTTGACAATGTTACTGCGGAGCTGGCGTCAATTTGCTTTTTACTTTAACAAAAGTTTGGAAAAAGGATCAGTAAAAAACATTTTGCCTTTCAAAAGGAAACTACTAACAGTAGAACCTGGTTAATACGGACAAATTAGGGGAAATGCCATGGTGTCCGTATCACGCGGATGGCCGTATTAAGTGGGCTCTCGGTAAAAACGTCCCGGAAACATCTTGTATTGATATAAAGACTATGGCAGACAAAGAGGAAGAAGGGTAGGAACAATGACTGCGCCGAAACGCCAAGGAAGTGAAACTTGAGTAGTAATTATTAAATGGCTATATAGTACACGGAAAGAAAGACTGGCATAAAATCAAACATATCAAGCTATTCTGCTTCTTAAACCCAGAAATCTGTCCTTGTTTGGACAGTGTAAAAATATTTACAAATAGCACGTGATTGTGACAAGGAAAATAGACGGTACGCAGATAGCCAGTGCCCGGAAATAGCAGGGTTGACAGAGTTTGTGCCTCAGGACATTGAAAAGTGTCCATTGTGTCCGTATTAATCGGTGTCCGTATTAAAGGCTAAATTTTAGAAACTGTCCGTTATATACGGGTGTCCGTATTAAGCGGGTGTTCCGTCTTGCAGAAATTAAAATTTCGTGTATGTCCTCTTCGTATTGATAGAAATATCCAATCAACGCGCGAGGAATAACTCAGTAAGTTTATGAAAATGCGGCTATCTAAGAAAACTCACAAATCCCGCGCGTCGTGGTGTCGGTAATAAAATACTTTTACTTTTTACCTTTGTAACTGTAAAACAACCAAAAAAATTCTTACTGAGTACGTGGTCATGTGCTATAAGGTTGCCTTGGAACATTGGCAGCAAAGTCGAGTTTCAAAATCCTTGAGAGAGGATGGCTACGAACTCAAAAGGAGGTATGAACTATTCCTGTTTGATTTTTTCATTGCCTACAATTTCAAGCAATTTCATTTTCTTCTTCTCCACGGATCAGTGTACGTCAAGGGATCTCATAGAGCAAATAACAGAAAGCAGCGAACTAGACTTCCTGGCATGGAGATCTACTCTTTATAAAAACAAGCTCACACAAGGGTCACATACGATTGAAGTTTGTTATCATAATGATCAGGCTGAAAAGCGGAAAATAACAAACGCCTATAATTTTTTTTCTTTCTGAGCTTGCGTGCTAGCGGTATGATGCTCTCTCTTCAAATGGTGCGGTTTTAATCTCGCAGTCTACTGCGAATTGCAGTGACGTTACAGTTTAGCCTCTCCACAGTTTATTAAACTCAGTCGGAGGCGTACAGTCCATACTCTCCATATTTGGCATACCCGATCTCCCTATCAGTCACGGTCTCTTTCCATATAAGGAGCACATTAAGCAACCACGACTGCGACGGCATGGAGCGAAAACGCCACAAAAAAGTGTATTCACGCTGTTTCAAATTATTTTTTTCACTCTTATTCCATTTCGTTCAAGTTAATTGTCAAATGTTGGTGAATGTTTTTTGGTGTTTAATTCTAAGGTAATGTATCTCAATGTAGGAAAAGGAAAAACAATCGTTTTCTAGTCTGAAAGTGTTCCGTGTTTAGTAATGTTTAAATCATGAACAGCAGTGTTTTATCACTGGTTTAACATTCGAGCGTAATGAGCGCAAGATTTTCTAACCATTGATAGAACACGTGCCTTGCTTTCTTTGACAAGCCTTAAAAAAAATTCGAGCTTATTTAGCACATGTTAAGAGACTTGCCCAGTCCCTTATCTGTAACAGATTTAAGAAAATGGTCGATGCGCACTCTCGTAATATCGGAAACAGAAACAAGTTAAACATGCCTTCCGGTCAGCTGCCATGAGCAGTCCGCTTCTGGAATGACTTTGCAGAATCTTTAGGTAATAAAGAGAATGTCAAGCAGCTTACCGTAAATCCTCTATTAAGCCCCCCGGGGGCTTATTTTTTTCAAGCACTTTTGAGCGGGGGCTTAATAGAGAGGGGGGGCTTAATAGAGGATTTACGGTAAGGCTGAAGTGAAGAGGCGTCATTTCCTTATTTCAGTTTTTTTCCAATAAATTTCACATATTGTAAAGTAGATAATTAAGCTTTTAATTATCAAATTGCAATTGCAAAGTTGGCTGAAAAGCCATTTTATGGGGTAGCCTGATAAACTATTACTGTTACTAAATATTTCATTTCAATAGGATTTTGCTAAATAACGGCTTTCTCTTTTTTACTGAAAAAAAAAAACAATAAAAAAAAAAAAAATAAAATGGGAACACACAAGCGGCCGAAATAACAAAGGTTGGTCAGATATAATAGCTTATAATTATGCAAATACATTGTACAACCTCAAGTAAACAGTTTAAAGACCTGTTCACGTGTAGTTGGTAACCCGTCTGTCCATATAATCTCTCATTTTAATTTGATCAAGTTTACATGATAGGCAGGGGGTGACCATATGAGAGATTGTAATAAAGACAGGCGGGTTACCCTACCTAAGCGGGTCACCTCACTTAAACCTGGGGACCCCTACTTCCATGTAAACAGGCCTTAAGCGTCTACCTGCCTTCGCAAAACGGCTATCCAAATTAAATAAATTTGCAGTGACAGTTATTCTGAATCGTACAAGAGGGAAAAACGTTCGAAGTGAGTGTCACTACATCTAGCTGCGATGCGACGTGACATAATGGGAATAGATATAAATTAAGTTTCGCGGAATTGCAAACCGGTCAGTGACTGGTACACGTAAGAATTCTTTGCGTCTCACATCACCAACTTATTCTTGGCTCGATGAATAAACAGTCGTGAAATTGGATTAGTCTGGTGATTTCTCAGTTAAAAAACTTCGACATTTTTGTTAATAAGTTTTTTGTACTGCCTACATCGGCCTCCAAATATGGTAACCGTGTGCCGGATGTGAGGATTTAGCGGCGAGACAGACAATCAGAAACTGTGAAATATTGAATAAATAATATTGAGAAGAAACGAGATCTCAAGCTTGTGGCCCCTTCCAATCTCACTCCCTTGCTTCTAAACCATTCTGGTGAGAAGGGTCTAACGACAAAGTGATTTATGCTGGTTGGACCTTTCAAGTATGTAGCACCCCGGTAATATTGGCCTTGTGCAACGGATTTACAACGCCCTAAATTCATACTGATCTCTTATAGTAAAGCTTCTTTATCTCTCGTAAAAAATGGACCAAGAACCCCTTGATCGATGATGCTCAAAGTTCTAAATTGACCACCGATCATGAGTCCATCCGATCATTTCATGGCAGCTTATGTGGTCGTTGTCCTAAGGTTTCAGTTCCTCTTCTTTTT